TATTTATTTATTTAAAGTTTGTTTTCGATCGTGAGAATTCAAGTATACCTAGCCGCTTAGCACTCGGTAGTCGCAACGTTTATCCTTAAAATTTTGGATTTTCACGCAACATACATTTATTTATAGATAGGTAGGTAATTTTCTTAATTAGGCTGTTCGATCTCAATATGTGTGTACTGCCAAAAGACAAGCTTACAGCTATTCAAATCACTAAGCTATAATCACACTGCTTATAGCTTAATTATTTGAATAGCTTCAAGTTTGTATTAAACTTCTATAGCATGCATGCATCTCGTCATAAAATCACTAAGTGGGCGACTTTGTCGTGAGTGTGACTTTAGATTTTGAGATTTTTTTTGATTGCTTTACTTAATATGCCTTACCTAGTTACTTTTATCTATAGACACATAGAGAGAACCAGGGCCAGATTTAAGGCTGCTTGGGGCTGTGGGCTGTGACCCAGGGGTCTCCACAAGATAGGGCCTCCACAACAGAGATGAAAAATAACCAAATTTCGATGGGTCACCAACCAAGGAAGGGGGCGCAAATGACATAAAATACCCCTCGTAAAGAGCCTCAACTTCTTCGTTGCCCCAAGGTCTCTAAATCCGGCCCTGGAGAGAACATTATAGTCCCTACTTTGTATGATCATGTACAGAGTCGTGAATTTTTAAGCGTCAAAGAGTCGCTTAACAAATCGTTCGTGCTATTATTATGAGTAAAGAATTGACAAACGTTTGTGCAGCGGCCGACGCGGCGCAGCCGATGACTCACCTTATTTTATTATGTACCTAGGTAGAGAAAGCTATGGCCAAGCGCGGGGGTTCTCGGTATTGCTTTTGTTGTGTATGTGTGGTTTGGTTAGATCTAGGCTTAACTCCTCCAAACACTATCCGTCTGCCATAGTGTTTTGTTTTTCGAAATGAGAAGACAGACAAAAACTACGAAAGATATCTCTGATTTTGGGGAAAAGTTAAAAAATTGTGTTAAGTACTTTAACCAATGTTAATGTTATTTAAAATGGACCAGACTGCTTCCTTACGGAACTTTTGATATGGGCTGGAATTCACGGAATTTATAACCAGTGGGTTCTTTTTTGAAGAACCGATTTTTTTAGGATTAAAAGGTTATGATGATTAAAATCTGGTCAGCAGTTTATGGAAGAAGTAACAAATATTCAAACAAAAATTAGTTTTAATTTATAATATTAGTAGGCTAGTATATCTTTTTGGATATTCCTTTCGCTGTTTATGTATCGGAATATTATTTGCTTACTAAAAATGCATATGCATTTCTTGAGCTTGATGGCGCAGGTGGTAAGCGCTTTTAGCTGCGATATTTGAAGATCAGCAACTTTCACACGTTTAACTTTTCAACAGTGGTCGGTCATTGGATGGGTGACATGCTAAGCCGTTGGTCCCGGATGCATCTGCAGTCGTTAGCACCTACCAATCCGCACTGGGTCTGCGTGGTTGGTGATGGGCCCATCTCCCTATTCCATCCGCAGGGAAGGCCTGTGCCCCAGCAGTGGGGACATTAATAGGCTGATGATGATTTGAATATCTTATTTTATGCTTTAGTAACAAGAACAGAGTCAATTAGTATAATGAGATACGACTCTTAGTGTCGCCGCACACGGCCACCGACCATAACCACAAACGCCGCCACCGGCATATTTCTTGTAGTTTTCATACATTTTATATGGACTCGCCACACATGGTACGCTGGATGCGGGCAGCGCAGGACCGATCGTTGTGGAGATCCTTGGGGGAGGCCTATGTCCAGCAGTGGGCGTCGTACGGCTGATATGATGATGATGATGACACACGGTACGCCGGTGGCCGCCACATGCTACAAATCATCGTTGCTCGTTTCTTGTGGCCCGCACCGGCTACTTATTGCGCCGCCGATACAAAACGCCGCCACACGTCACTCGCGCGATTCCCCACCCCTCTCTCCCTTATTACCTTAGTCGGCCGCTGTCGCGCGCTTCAGCCACTTTAGTAGCCGCTTCTAGCTTCTCGTGGCGGCGTTTGTGGCTGTGACGTGTGGCCCGTGAGCGGCGACACTTCGTTAGCTTAGCATAAGTGACACCCTGTCCCCGTAGCATAAACACCTCAATTTACGTTATAGCACGTTTTTTATCGCGTCTAACTGTCAAACTCCATAGTAATTTGACACTTGAGCGTGATAAAAACGAGTAAAGTAGGGGGGGCAGGTCTGTAAATTCGCAGTGCTAACATCATTCCCAATGGGACTTCTGAGTTATAATTTTCTTTCTTACTGACGTTAACTATTTTGAGTTCCTAACCAATGAGTCACAGTCGACCAACTATTGTATATACGTTAAATGACTTAATAAAAAAAGGTTGTTTTTGACAACGTCGTTGTTATAATAGATCAGGCAGGTAGGTACCTGTTTTTGGCGCCATTCAATAAGATAATGAATGGCGCCAAAACAGGTACTTACTACAATCTTGGAAGTTGAATGACAACCGATTTTGGGTGGTAACCGCTTTGTATTAACTCCAAAAAGTACTTTTCTCAATAGATTTTTTTCTGATTCTGTACGGAAACCCGTAAGAAGAACAACACTTTACGACATGAGCTAATTAGGACGATTTCGAACTCTTTTATAGAGTAACTAGCGGCTGCCTGCGACTTTGTCCACAATAACTTTAGTTATTTGAGAATCCATCAGGAACCTATCAGTATTAGGGAAAAAAAATATCCTTTGTCTCAATACAGGGCGCCAAATTCCTTCAGCCGTTTTCCGATTTAATCAAGTCCCACGGTAAAAAACTCCCCAGTGTTTACTATACCTTTTCACCCCGTTCGAGGTAGAGTTTCAAAGAACTCTGACAAATGTTATTTTTTATTTCAGGTATTAAGTATAAATATTCAGCTAACAGTTAATCGATATGCGCGTTAAAATTCATGCATATAAAAATTCGGCACCATCCAATCCCCCTTTAGGAGAAGTTTAGCAAACCAAAGATGCCAATATTTTGTAATTTAATTAGATAAGTATTCGAGCCAAGTTTCAAGTCTATTAACTAAAAAAAAAGATTTTTATGTAAACCTTTATCCCCATTTTAAACCCTAAAGGGACAAACTTTGAAAAATCCTTTCTGAGTGCACCCCTACACTTCATAAAAACCTACGTGCCAAATTTGGAGTCTCTAGACCCAGCGGTTTGGGCTGTACGTTGATTGTCAGTCAGTCACTCAGTTTCTTCTTTTATATATTAGATATAGATTTGCTTTTAAAATAGTCTATATATGTTAAAATCAAATCTGAAATAAACCTAACAGTTTTATTATTAATACACTTCTGGACACATCTATTGGCCCACCTTGTATTTTCAGTATCGTTTGGTCCTAGCTAAAATTTTATATTAGGTCGAGTAAAAAGTTTTTATGCAGTTTTGAACCTGGCACATTCACAATTTCATTCAATAGTCTTTTTTTGAATTTCGAACACAGAATTAAAGAAACAAAAGACAATTTGGAGCCTGTTTGTTGATATCAAACAATCGAAATCGAATACTAAGAAAACTTGGTTTTATTGGTTTACTTGGATTTAATTCTTGAAAAAGTGATTGATATCTTTGGTTTTGCAACAAACATTACTTATTCTTAACATTAAAGTGAGGTTCTATCAATAATCTATGGATACTTTACCTGAAGTCGCCGCCCAAGCTGTGGCACTTATTCAGGCCGGACACAGCCAAAGAAACGTGAGTGCTCAACTTAATTTAAGTCGATCTGCGGTCCGAAATGTTTATCGGAGGTACCTAGAGACTGGCGGCTTTGTTCGTCGCCAAGGAAGGCCACGATCTCGGGTCACAACTGAAAGGCAGGATCGAGTCATCGTGACGACCAGCTTGAGAAATCGTCACCTTACCTCCATTGAGATACAAAAACAAATTCGCGACTTCCACGGAGTATCTGTGAGCGCTCGAACTGTTCGGAGAAGGTTAAAAGAACGCGATATGGTACCACATAAGCCAGCTAATGGGCCCAAACTAACGCGAGCCCACCGAACAGCGGGCCTTCATTTCGCACGCAGTCATTTAAATTGGACACAGTAAGATTGGAGCCATGTACTCTTTTCTGATGAGTCTAAAATTGTGTTACATGGCAATGATGGAAGGAAGAAGGTCTACCGACGTAAGGGAGAGCATTTCGCACAATGCTGCTTTGAAGAGAGGGTTGCTTATGGCGGTGGCTCATGGACTGTCTGGGGCGGTATATCCGCGAGCGGCAAAACTCAACTTAAGGTTGTTACAGGACCACGGCTGCCAACATTATATGCTGAAAGGTATATTCGTGAGTGCTTAGAACCTCACGTGATACCATACGCGGACTATGTGGGCCCAAATTTCCTTTTTATGCATGATAATGCAAGAGCCCATGCGGCCGGCATCGTCAGGGAATATCTTCGGGATGTGAACATCACATTTATGGACTGGCCAGCCAGAAGCCCAGACATGAACCCCATTGAGCACATGTGGGACGAGCTAAAAAGACGTGTTAGGGCTCGTCAGCCAGTTGCCCAGACGATGCAGGAGTTGAAAACTGCCATAGAAGAGGAATGGGAGATGATCCCTCAAAATTTCATAGAGCGGTTGATAAACTCTATACCTAATTGTATGAGAGCTGTGGTAGATGCCCATGGAGGCAACACGCGTTATTAAATTAAACCTTTATTTGATAAAACATGTTTTTTATTCAAAAATCAATTGCCTTTAACAAGGCGCATATCCGACTTGTTAGCGTGGCGTAGCTCCATGTCGTATGGTATTCTGAATTCAAATTTAAAACAATACGATCGAAAAAGATGGTAAAATGTATCAGGTTTAAAACTGCATCAACAGTTTTTGTTCAATCTAGCAATCATATTTCGGTAGGGGCCATCGAAACCTAAACCTTAAGGTGGGCCAATAGATGTGTCCAGAAGTGTATATATATATATATATGCTACTAAAACTTTTGCAGGGCGAACATGTGGCGACTGGCGTGTCTACTCGCATTTGCGGGTGCAGTGGCCGCTCAGCTGACACTCCACGTGAAGTGCGGCCAGCTGACCTGCCAGCTCGACGAGTACTGCTCCCCGGAGACGAACCGGTGCGCCTCCTGCAGCAGCGTGTGCAATCAATCCGACCACAACTATGACTCCGGGCTTTGTCTCAAACAGTGCCAAGGTGTGTATTCTTTAAAAGCCATCAGCTAATATAAAGATGACCTGCTAACTCTACGAGTACTGCTCCCCGGAAACCCACCGGTACGACTCCTATAGCAGCGTGTGCTATAAGTCCGACCACAACTATGACTCCAGGCTTTACCTTAAATAGTGCCATGGTGTGTATTCTTTTAAAGCCATCAGCTAATATAAAGCTGGTAACGCCAGCTTGATGTGTACTGCTCCCCGGAGAACTAACTCATTTGATATTCAAAATTATATTTTCTTTAATTCATCTTGCTAGCAGTACAGGTTATTTCAACACATTAGGCGCATCTACGATGCACTTGCCTTGTAAAATAAGGTATTCCTATAAGAGTCAATGATGCGTTGCAAAACTGAGCACTGAGTAGGTAGGAGCTGAGTAGGTTGCTAAGTGTACGACAATATGTAAATTCGATCACGCCACTTATAAGATTATCTTGTAGTGAACACAAATTTTAGTTTTTACTGTTCTGTTAGCCTCATGCCTCATTTTTACACGACCGCCCAGGAAATAAATTGAAAGTGTAATTGTATTCGGGGTTCATGTATGTATGTACAATTCTTTATTCCACCATAACTTCTAAACGCCAGAACTTATTTTGATGTGTGTGGTATCGGTAGAATCCTTTCACCATCCGGGGTAACATAGAATACCCATACTGTTAAAATTGAAATAACAGCAATTTCAAAATTTATTTCAATTATTTATGTCAATTAAAAAATTAGTCTTCTAATTATTACAAAATAAGGTATCATTTGAAAGGTCTTAAAGATACCATGTCAAATATATACAAATATAATAGCATTTAAAGACAGTCGTGTTTTTTAATCTTTTAATTATTATTGTATATGCATAGTCATTCTAAAAACATATAACATTCAAACAGTATCAAATAAAAAATGTTCGAGTATTTTTTTTTAATTTTTTAAGCATTTAACTGCTAATTGTTTAAATCGAAAGAAAACTTTACTAGACAAAATTCCACGCGGACCAGGCAGCAGACAGGACTATTTCTTTCGATGTTAGAGTAATAAAAAAAATCCTTCTTCTTTTTTAAACAACTGTTTTTTTTCTTTCTCTCACATAAAGGTTACCGTGCCTGGAATGGGAAGTTTCCATTTCTTGTGTGCTACTTACTTGTTTATGCTAAAAACTTTTTCAGGTCCTAAACTATATCTGTACCAAATTCCATCAAAATCTGTTCAGTAGTTTTTGCGTGATTGAATAACAAACTTACAAACTTTCACGTTTACAATATTAGTAGGATAATATTTACTATGTATGAAAGCATTTTCGTCTTTTACTATGAAACTAGCAAAAGTCCCTACTGCCAAAGATTAAATAAAAAAAAACATGATGATCATTGTAAGGTTACTATTAGATTTCTGGTAGCTACGTTCCCGTAGCCTGATTGTAATCGGATTTCATACACTCGTAATCATCTGTTATCAGAGACCGCTAACCGTTACTCACATTAAACTTGTGCAATCGTTGTATAGTTTACCCAACGCCATCTCACTGGAACAGAATCAGAAGAAACAGAACAAAAGATTAATTTTATAATAATAATAACGTTTATTACCCAGAGAATCGATTTAAAAATTTATATCACTTAAAACATTGAATATTTTATAATTCTTCTTAGAATAAAATATCACATCTTGGAATCACATGATTTTTTTATGCTGTTTCGTAAAGAACAATTTTTATAAATCTTTTCTATGCTGACTCGCAGGTAGGTTAGGCAGACATTATAGAACAATCAAACTGTATTTTAACAACTAAAATGTTTTAATATTTCTCTTTAATAAAGATAAAGTTTAAACACAAAGTTAAAGGCAAACATTTAAAAATCCTACAAAATTTGTGTTAATGCTATCTTTAATTAGATTTTAGTTTAAAAATGTGGTAGGCATTGAACAAACGAAAACATACATAACTGTGATAACTGTGACTGCACTTCATATTATCTTATCTGGGAAGAGCCTGTACGGTTATGTTTTTTCTCAGATATTTTTCTTTACCTACTAAAATATATATATAGAGAGAGTGTATATCATACAGTATCATAGTTTTACAGTGGTAATTTTTTCGTAAGGCACAATTTCTAATTATTTTTAGATAGGTAATTTTATTTTATTGCTATGTTATGTTTCTCTTTAAGTTAAAAAGTCCAATAGGACTATCATGTTATTTTCGGACAAAGGGCCAAAGAAGATCCGTGAATTTATTATAAAATAAGGTTGTGATGTAATCTTAAAATTCATGTTTATAAGCGTGAAACATGCCAAGGCTCAGATATTTATCTACCTGCTGTTAGAAGTTGCAATTTATAAATTTTCACCCCCAGCATACAGAAACTGTATATTTTCCCATGAGACATTTCACTCCAAAATAGACACAATCATTCTATTCTATCATGTGAATATTTACATAAGAGGTTCAGGTTAGCAAGATATCCTGAAATTATAAATGAAACTTTAGTTACGTGCACATTGGAGGAAGTCCTTTTTGATTAATAATGTTTTTAAAAGTTTCACTTGCATCATGATTTCATAAAACCCTCACAATTTTTCGATGTTGGCTTCCTTGAAAGTTAAGGTTGAGAATTATCCCAGCTTGATTGATAGATACCCTCAAATTATTTGACGTTACTTACTTATTAGAATCTGAGTACCGCCTGTACACAGAGGCATCAATAAACTTTTAAGTTAGATTTAAGTGAATGCTGTCACTATCTTTGCGATGACTTCAGAATAAGAAAACATAGAAGTTAAAACGACATTATTATTTATTTGACACTAGCGGCCGCACGCGACTGCGTCCGCGTTACCTTTAGTTTTTTTAAATCCCTCGGGAACCTAGCATTTTTCGGGGATAAAAAGTCTCAATCTAGGTCATAAATAACATGCGTACCAAATCCGAATCCGTTTAGCAGTTTTTGCGTGATTGAGTAACAAACATACAAACTTTCACATTACTAATATGACTACGGCCGTAATACCTTAAAAAGAGGACAGGAATATCGGGATCCGGATTGGATTAAACCGCTTTTCGATTGAATGCGTTAGTCCTTAGTAGGGGATATAACAATGGGAGCGTTGGCGATATGCTCTGTTGCTTTCGACAAGTACGACGGACGAACAAACACATGTACATAAAGTCATACGAGTGAGTGAGTGTGGCTTGTTTGTGTGCTCGCATCATAGCACAGGTGGATTGCGTTATTTTATTGAACTGCCAATAAGTCCTTGCGGATCTTTTTACAAGCAGCGACACAACTAGGTTTTATTTGACCGCGAAATGGATCGAGTTCAATTCTTACTTTATGAATATGTGCATTATGGAAGACAAAGTTTCTCATGTTTCCGGACTTTTCCAGACCCCCATGTTTTACTGTTAACATATTTAAAGTAACATGCAGTATCGTAATCACACTAATATTATATAGGCGAAAGTTTGTGAGTGTGTATGTTTGTTACTTCTTCATGTCTAAACGGCTGGCGCGATTTTAATAAAATTTGGTATGGAGTTAGCTGACACCCTGGATTAACACATGTTTTACTGGTGGAAAATATCCCTAATAAACTGCGGGTAACACCGCGGGGCACAGCTAGTAATATTATAAATTCGATAATCAAGTGTAAGTTGCACCAAAGAGCTGGTTGAAGTAAAATTTTACATGACATGAAAGTTGAAGTTAGTTTACTGTAACTCACGCAAACACTTCCGACTGCTTGTCGGTTACTTATCAGATTGAATTTCATGTTTAATTTTACTGATTCTGTTTGATTTTGGCGGAACATATATAAGTTTGTGCTCGGCTATGGAATTCCTTTCAATATACAAAATGATTGTTTTCAATATAAAAGTTGTAGAGAGTAAATGTTTGTATGATATTTGTTGTTGGAGGCCCCCCAAAACTACACGGGCATTTCCCAAGTTCTAAGTAAGTAAGGTTAGATGCTTGTAATAGTTAATAGTTGTTTCTAGTAGTCTATGATCAGCCTTGGCGAAAATTACTTAATTGAAAGCCGTCCGAATAGGCTACCCAGTACGCCATCGATCTCCATAATATATCCCTGTGGATAAACTAATAAGCCTGAATTGCGAATATATAATATCACGGATTTGTATAAAAAGCGATTTTAAATTCTTTTTAAATTCTTCTCAACAATTCAGGTGAAATATAAAAAAACACAGGTAACAATTTTTTTACCTCCTACGCGTTACCATGTTAACACCTGTCGCAGGGTCATAGTCACTAACACAAACATTCACTGTTTGCTTAGTACAAAGTTTATTCACCGAAAAAAAAAACAGAAAGCACTGCCTCATCGCAGCGTGCTTGCTCTCTCTCCTTACTCAGGAGCTCGATGGCGCAGGTGGTTAGCGCGTTCGGCTGCGATCGTTGAAGTTCAGCAACTTTCACAGTGGTCGGCCATTGGATGGGTGACCAAAAATCTTCTATCTCGAGTTCCTCCGTGCTTCGGAGGGCACGTTAAGCCGTTGGTCCCAGCTGCACCTGCAGTCGTTAGCACTTGCCAATACGCACTGGGCCCGCGTGGTGGGTCATGGCAAAATCTCCCTTTTCCATCCATAGGGAAGGCCTGTGACCCAGCAGTGGGGAAATTAATAGACTGATGATGATGATGATGAATGAATGAATGAATGAATGATCACTTTATTGTACACCATATTTCAAAGGACAATTAATTAAAACTATTACATAATAGTACAAACGGCGGCCTTATCGCTAAGAAGCAATTTCTGATGATGAAATGATGACTGATGAAGTGAGATACCTATGTACGTATCTCTCTTCTATCCATATAAATAAAAAAGCGGCCAAGTGCAAGTCGGACTCGCCCATGACAGGTTCCGTAGCAGCAAGTAACATAATATAAAAGTTATTGTTAGTTAGTTAGTTATTTCTCATAAAAAACAAGGTACATGGTAACAATCCCGTTAATAGCTATAATGTTAGTGACCATGAAAGTTTAAAACAATATATTGTTATTGTTAGGGTTAGAATATAATAGTTCACGGTTTATGCATAAGGTTTATGTTTATGAAATTAAATGGTTTTTATTTTATTTTTATGTTTAAGTTGATTGAATGAAGGTAAATTGCGGTTTACGATTTATGACGTTATTTAAAAAAAAACAAATTTTGATGGAAGTTTGCATTGTAATGTATATCATATTTGTTTTAGTTTTACCATTCTCTTATTTTTGAAGTTACATTACAAGTTCGGAAAAAAGTGGCTGTGACATACGGATGAACAGACAGACAGACATTACGAGTCCATGAGGGTTCCGGGTTTTGCCATTTGGCTACGAAACCCTAAAAATGAATCGTCTAAATGTATTACAAAAATAGTACATAATTTTCGAAAGACAGTACCAAATTTCGCCAAATTTTTTTATATTTTGTATTCGTTATTGTCAGGACAAGGTTTGTTTTTTAAACTCCACCAACAATCACCCGAAGGTTTGGAAATCTGGATATGATATTTTTTATCAAGATCTCAACGCTTATCATTTTTTTTCAATTTTTCTTAAATGAACCGAAAAAGTCCGAACTGAACCGCAGACCACAGGCCGCAGCTGCAGACTGCACACGATACTACTAGTTTCTATGAAATTGATTCCGAGCGCGGCGACACTCCGCGGCTGCACAATGCATATAATGCACGGTCAGCCGCAGGCGCTAGCCGCAGTGTCGATTGCGGTTGTCGCCTGCAGCCCATTGCGGAATTGTACCTTTATATTTCTTCATATCATAAATAATTTTCAATTTTTTTTTCAGGATATTTGCTGCGTAAAGTCGGCGAGTCGTCACCAGTAAACGGCAGTAAGTACCTATTGTTGCTGCAAAGATTTTTTTTTAATGTTTAAAGGGTGGCAAACAAGCCTATGGCCCACCAGATGGCAAGCGGCCACCATAGACTATAGATAGACGCTTGCTTTAAAAAAAACACTCGCGCTGTTGCCTACATTGACCCAATCCCTACACCGTGGAGCCCTGGAACCTTACTCACAAACAGAAACACAAGTTATTTTACCGTGTGCTTCTGCAAGGTGGAAGTTACTTCCCCAGCGCTATGCCCGACCTCTCTTAATTTGAAGCAAGTGATTTTGGTTTTGTGATTTGTTGAAAGTTTTATTACGTAATGATAAGAAACTTCATGAGGCTATATCGTTGATTCTTCTTTCATAAGTCAAGTGCGCTGTGTGATTTTGAAACTGTAAAATCTTTACATAAACGGCTTATCATAAATTTTAAACTTTTTTAACGGAATTATAATTTTATTAGAAATTATCATAATATTATTCTTCTTTGGTTGAATACGCCATTAAATTAAGACTCAACACACGAGCCTTGGGCGGATAGGTGGACACTAATGACTACCAATTCAATTAAATAATACAACCTCCAAGTATAGAGGAGCGTTTTCTTTATGCGTGATAAAGAAACTGTTCCACTATCGTTTACAAAAGACAAGGATGGATAACAGAGATTTGAGAATTTGTGGCGTAGATTTTCATGAGTGCTTGAAATAGCTATAGATTGAAAAAATAATTTGATTGCTGAATGTTGTTTCTTTAATTTTATATCTGAAAGAGTGTGTTGAGTTCAAAAACAATAAAACTACCAATTTTGCGATACATAAATATTGCTTCTGTAGCGATGCGAATTTGAATTAATTGGCAGACAGTGTCTTCATGATGAATTTTCATTTTTCAACGAACTTGTTTGGAACACTGAAAAATTATACAAACGCATGATTTGATGTGATGAATATTTTGCTGTTTGCGAATGTTCCGTTTAACATTAACTGTGCATGTAGGTAAACAGATTGCTTTGCGAATGTACAGTCATTTTGGAAATATACATAACTACAATTATGATTATAACTGTCAAATGTGAATTATTAACTAGGTTCACTGTGTTCATGTGGATTCGCGTTTAACATAGCATACGCCATTTATGCTTTGTAACTTTGTCTGAGAGTCAGTGATATGATTGTAGGGTTCATGATTTCTCGAGCTTTTCAATTTCTCGGGTCTCGAGAATTCTCAAGGCTAATTTCTCGAGATTTCTCCGGTTGTAGAGAAATTTACATTGACGTACGTTTTCTCATATTATTTGGTTCTAATAACGTCAACAAATTCCGTGGATTTTCTCTCAAATAAAAGTATCAAATTAATTATAAAACTTTTATTGATTGTATTCAAAAACATTAATCTTATGAATAAGCTATTTAACTTTAAAAAAATACAGAAATAATATTATTCAGACTCATAATTATACTACTATACTACTAAATGTCTCACTAACCCGCTAGTATTTGAACCTTTGCAAGCAATGATTTTTGGGGACTTTAGGCATTGCGCATTTGCAATACCTTTTTTTTTTGAAATATTTCTATACTTTTGATGCTTCCATCTTTACTGTTATAGTGACGTTTCGGTAAAATCAATTCAAATTAATAATAATCCCTTGGAGTAATATGTTGGAGTACCATACAACTAGCAATATTCGTCTCACAAATTTAAAATGATACATTAGTTAATTTCAAATTACTTACATAAGAGATGAAGGTACATGATTTCTCGAGTTCTCGACTTTTCACGAGCTTGATTTCCCGGGAACAAAGCCCAACGATTTCCCGGGAATTCTCTATATGATTGCTTGAGATTGACAAATAATGCATATGTCTGCACGATATTCAAACATAGGTGGGTCAAGTACGAGACTGTACCTATAGTTACAAGTCGCTATTCCAAGTTTCTCAATGGAAATAGGAGATTTTAGTTCTGGCTGTTTTTTTTCTTCAATAAGCCCTTACGAATGTGTCTCAGTAAAGGAGGTTTTGCCTTAAGACTGTTATTCTTATTGAAGGTTGAGCGGTGCGCGCTATATCTCGAAAAGACATATTATGATAAAAGTTTTAATTCAGTAAAAAAATATGTAAAATTGCATGCTTAACAACTTTCATAACGGGTTCTAATGCGATAGGAGCGATTGGAAGCGAGAAAGGTTATTTTTGTGAACTTTCACCTCTAATTTGTAACCAAGTCCTGTGAGTCCTTCTCGTCTTTTTAAAGTTTACTGCAGAGAAATAATATTGCGAAGTGCCCCTAAAATGCCATCGCTGATTTACCTACTATAATTTAATCAAATTTAAATGTAATTTTGTCTCTGGGTAGATCAGATAAATTTATGATATCTTTTTTTGTGTGAAGGTGTGCAGCGAGAAGCCAAGATAGCGCTGATTCTAAGCAGCGTAGCGCTGGCCATCTTACTGCTGGTGATCGTTATCTGGTGTAAAGAAAGATTCTCCTGGAATTACATCAAGCAGAAGCTGCTGCGGGCTAAGGCCCGCAATAAGGTATGTAAGGTGTGACAGTAGAAAAGTCAAGTCCGTTATGTTCTACTGTTCTTCTCCTTGTCTTTGAATGATTGTACCTCAGACGTGTGTAGATTCCTTCTTAGATGTCTGTCGTTCGTCTTTCAAATACACAGCAAAGACAAGAATTATCCTATTTATGTCATCATCAGTCTATTAATGTCCCCACTGCTGTGGCACAGGCCTTCCCTATCTTAGATGTCTGCCGTTCTTCTTTCAAATACACAGCAAAGACAAGAATTTGCCTATTTATGTCATCATCAGTCTATTAATGTCCCCACTGCTGTGGCACAGGCCTTCCCTATGGGTGGAATATATCTAATATTATTGTAACAATAATCGTTAAGTGTTATTCTGATTCCAGAATCGAGTTACGACATATCCCGGGGACATCATGCACCAAAATCCTCACGCGGAAATGCCCAAACCGAAACCCGACTTGAAACTGGAGATCAGGAACCCTGAGCCGAAACGAATCCCACAGCCCCTTAACCCGAGGGACTTGGATACTCGCACTTCCCAAGCGGAGAAGAGCCAAGCAGCAACGACTCCGAAAACCATCAGTACAGCCTTGAGCAATCGACACCCGGCTGAAGATACGACACTAGATTTTTCTTATGATAACGTGGCAATGAACGAGACTCCACCGGAGCATGTTGGCTTACCGACCAATCGTTTTTGAGAACATGTTTTTTCTTCAGCGCAAAACGTAAGGCAAATACCACACTATTATATAAAATAGGTGCGTTGTTTATAGCGTGATGAACTACAGTAGGTTATAATACATGTATTCTTTAAAAGTAGTCATTATAAAAGTATCTAGGCATCTTAGAACCAAGAGTGGTTGATTGTAGTGCCTCAGTCCAAATGTATCTGCATGTAAGTATTTAACAATACACGTCCTGTATTTTGAAATGTCAAAAATAATGAGTGAATCTGTTACATTCTGTTACATAGAATACAAAGATCTTGTTATCTACCTACTTACTTTGTATTGTAATTGGAAAAATCGAAATAATTTGTAGAAGAGAACAATAGATACACAGGAAACCAGGTTTTCCATTTTCAGTCAGGTTTGGTGCGGTAATTAACCAATTAATATACAATGACAAAAGCACTTAAAAATATTTTAAGACACAATTCTGTTTATTTAAACTTTATAGTAATTGACTTAAGAATGTGATGGTGGTATCGTTAAAACATTCTATTCTCTGTTATATTACACTGTTTACTTGTTTGTCTGAAAATTATCGAAGTTAAGCACAACAACCTTTTCTATTGGATGAGATTATCACTTGACATCACAATTTTATTTAAATCCTCTCAGAGGTCAATAATAAGTGGAGGTTAGTTATATTTATACGATTTCTATTAAGCTATTCACGAGCATGACGGATAGGTCTAAAATAGCGAGATTTCAGATGTTTCATAAAAATGACACTATTTTAGAAAACTTGCTTCTGTTTATCTATACTTATAATAAATCTGTAGAGAGGCCAATTCTGTACATGAAATATATTTTCAAAATAACTATCAGGGGGTGCTTAGTGATCGATACTGATGCCAAAAATGCAATCAGTAAAATTTTTGTCTGTCTGTCTGTCTGTGTGTATGTTCCTTATAGAAACAAAAACTACTAGACGGATTTTAACGAAACTTGGTACAATTGTTCTTCATACTCCTGGGCAGGTTATAGTATACTTTTCATCACGCTACAATCAATAGGAGCAGAGTAGTGAAGGGAAATGTTGGGAAAACGGGAGAAGTTACTCCACTTTTTAAGCTTCCGTCGCGTGTGCAGCCTTAATGATTAAAGTTACATAGAAATCATGTATGACAGAAATATTCTACATAAAATTGTCTAAAAAATATCCCGCAACAGCATATGTCTATCTTTTATGGTTGACTCACAATAACACGTGTAACTCCTGATAGCTTAGCAGTTCGGAGCATTCTGATTATATTTGTTTACTCTTCCGTTTATAATACTCTCACTCATCCCTAATTTAAAAAGTTAACATTATTACCTATTCAATAAAAAGAGAATCATAGAAATCGGTAGAGAAACACCAAACTTATACATGAAATAAGCCATCGCGCCGTCGCACGTGAATACTGAATCATGCTATAAGGATTATTTTTGTGTAACGGTTGCCGCGCTCGACACGGGTCGCGGCGGCGGTAGGGTATAAAAAGGCGGGAGGTCCGAAAGCGAGCTTGGGAGGAAACAAAAAAAAAGAAAGCGAGCTTCATTCAATATTTGGCTGTTGATGCGTTCAGAGCGTTCGACCTTATTGACAGACAATAATTGATATTAAGAAACCGCGCTTATCTTAGAATAAAAACCAAACATTTGTAAACAAAATTAGCAAATAAATCATGTAAAACGTGTACAAAATGAGTACTGGAAAACGGAAATATGAGAATTTTAGATTGATTATAAATACAGGTAGTAAAAATGACCGTTTTTATCTATATATGTATATAAAAGTCAAAGGTGACTGACTGACATAGTGATTTATCAACGCACAGCCCAAACCACTGGACGGATCGGACTGAAATTTGGCATGCAGGTAGATGTTATGACGTAGGCATCCGCTAAGAAAGGATTTTGATCAATTCTACCCCCAAGGGGATAAAATAGGGAATGAAAGTTTGTATGAAACTTTGTCAATTTTAAACCGATCGGGCTGAGACTGCATGCAGATATAAGAATAATCATAGATTAATGTCATTGTGTATAATACAAGCCTGAGAACAAAAACTGTAGTCTACACTTCAGCTCTACACCGAAGAGAAGTGCGGGCGGACCGCTAGTCTCATAATATAACAAAAAAATACTTTTTTTGAAATTTTATGTGCATACCGAATTACATAGTAATTTTTTTGGGATTACCCAAAACGGCGTCGTACTGAATAACTTAGCATCTTTGACTCTTTATCATGCAAATATTCATAGCTTGTGCCAATCAAGGTTGGTAGGAGCAGTGTTAGTTCAAACTTGTCTTCTCTATCCAAAAGCCTTGGACGTTACGACAGGTTTGAGGCTTTGCTTTTGTTCAATTCGATAGCCCGAAGCAGGTCTAAATGAAGGCTTTCCAGCATAATGGGCCGTCACAGACTAGTTGGAATATAACCTGTCAGTTCGACAACATCACTGAAACGGTTTCCATGTAAATTGAATATCATGTTCGACATGGATCATTATAAAAATTTCGCTGTCAACCCTAATTTTGTTTCGTTAAAAATCATTTAAGAAATCGTGGAGTTAATAGATTTAGCTTTGAACATTAAGGATCGTAAATTATAAAGGTTGACTACTTATAAGCCGTTAAAAAATAAATACTTGGTACTTATGGTACTTAAAAGTTTTTTATATAATTTGTTACGAGATTCTGTTGTTTTGGAATATGTACTTATTATTACATGCGTCATATAGACTTCGACAATAATAATAACTTGATTTCAATAATGCACTATTGTATAAAGCAAACATTCACGCCTTTAGAGTTTTTGTCACTTGAAATAAATATTGAAGATGAAAAATATCTGAAACTTCTCATAGCATCTAATGAGAATCGGCACTCAGTCTGTTAGGGAGATAATGCTATGCTCGTAACATCTGTAATGACGAAATAGTATAGCAACAAATGGCGAACATACTGAGAGCGAACTTTGAAAGTTAACGAAGGCATCGTGATTGCCTTCGTTGCTTTACTTCAGGAACGGAACGAAGAATACGTAACGAGTGTAAGATACGTATCTTCGTTAACTATTAAATTTCAACTTGCGTATAGGTATCTACGAAAAGGGCACAATTGAACAAACCAAATTGGTTGTTAAAATATCAATGTCTAAAGCAGAAGTTTTAAACATGTATAAGTAGTGAACATTTGAACTTATACGGTCAGATGGCAGAACTTACACGAAATATTACCTGCATAATATCATCTTGTTTACACGAAACAGACATCTATGAACTAACAATTAAATACGGCGCTCCTGTTGGAAATGAGAAGGGTGTTGGGCATATTATAGCGTCACGATGGGAAATATACTACTACAGAGTGCGTATACACATTGCTAAGTCTTCAGGGGCTGTGTTTAAGTGACTTTGGACGAAAACGGTAACGGTTGCTGATCTTTATGCGTACCGTCTATTCAACTGCGCAGTAAGCACTGTAATAGCGGCCGTACAGAATTCCATTAAACAACGTTAAAATATTTTCTCTATTAGATGACGCGAACAAACATAACAAACGGGCGGCCTCTATATTATGCCGACTCGGTATTCATAGGAAACCGTATACTGCCAAGCTACCTCAGGGCTACTTTAATTGACATCCACGTCAACTTTCTAAAGTTTCAGAGCAACTTCAATAAAGTGTTTTCCCCGCAAATGCAAATTGACTTCTGAGCGTGTTATTTAGACGAAGCCTCTATTAGGAAAATGGGACCACCTTAGAAGAAAACACAATTGACAACTTATTTATATCTCTCCTATAAATACAGAAAATTAATTTGGTATTATTTTAGTTGTATATTTAAAAAAGTAAATGAGAGGTGAAGGTATATTAATAATACAAGGATAACTGAGGCTAAGGTAACACTGTAGGTTTGAGACAAACAATGACTATGCAAAACATCTGTACTACACGTTTAGCCACCAAGCTAGTAGCATGGCTCTTAGCTTAGCACTAAGCGAAGCTCCATTTGGAGTGGCCGTAGTCTTATACAGAAATATTAGAAAAATGAATATAAAAGTCTAGGTATTTCTAAACATAACATTATTAACCAATGTAACAATATTTACACCTTAGTATATTAAAATGGCCTCTTGGGACGATTGGAACAGTTTAATCCCAAGTATATTTGTCGGTATTATAATTAGCTGGTTCATTGTACAATCTATATATTGTTTTCCCTTTCTCCTTCAATAAAAGCGTCAATGTGATAATAACATACCACTTTTTCAACGAAGCGAAGTTACTTAATTCGGCCTCAGGTACTTTACCTTATGATATGTTTAATTAGGAATTAATACTTTTTTGATAGTAAGTAGCTTTGAAAGTATTAAATTAAATTAAAATATTGTTGTAAAACGAATATAAAATAAGTAATTCATGTATTTTGGGTTGTGAGCAGTTTTGTCTGACACAATTGGTGGTTACACTAATAATATCTATATGTAGAGTGCAAAAACTTTTGCAATTTTTTGTCTTTATGGTGTTAAATCAAAATTACCTTACTTTAACTATTCTGTACGTTATAGTTTTGATGTGTATATATTTCCAGCAATTTAAATAAACAATCTGGTATTCTTTACGATACCTGGGCAATGTACAGAATGCCTAAAACGTCAAGGCATTGAAATATTATTCCTTTTATACCTATTCTTATTGGAATATTTATTTCTAAATATAGTCATATAGATCTTATTTAATAGTTGCTTTTTATTAATGTAAAATATACTTTATCTAGGTATTGATCTTACGGGATTCGATGCAAATTGATTGTTATCTTCGATTTGTAGATTTGGTCGAGTTAGACTCGATCTTTATCTAAATATATCTCACGGCGTGGCTGAGGTAGTGTTTTATTTAGTGAAATTGGGATGTGTTTGTTTAATATGTTATGTTTATTGTTTGTGAACGTCACATATGTAGGATGATATTGGCGATCTGCTACTTTGACCGATCATACTTGTTGCTAATAGAGAGTGTAACTCTTTGTTTCAATCTACACGCCTAGATACCGTATTAACTGCACGGAAGTGCTCCAAAAAATATCTACTACAAATGGTAGATACGCAAACATTAACTGCTTTCAAACTATATAACATTATAGTCAAGCACACATTGCGCATAATATGAGCCGTTTTCTTTGCGTCGTTTATTTGGATTGCTCTATCTAAGCGTGTATATGACTAAATACATAGGCCTTTCTTAAACCTAATAATAGTATTAGGTCTACTCTACACTTTAAAATCAAGATTCAATGTACTGGGAACTTTGTAGTGTTCTGTCCTATTCTGCGACATAAGAAAAATTGTAAGGAAAAATAGGATCGATGAGGATCCCGATAGGGTCAAGCCGACAGTGTAACAATGGGAACAGTGTATATTATATCCGGCCATTTGACGTCTGGTGACAGCTGACTGATATAGCTTCTTATGAAACTACTAAAACACGCCAAGACAAAACATAGACAAATAATAACAAGGACGAGATATTCCTCAGGTTACACTGTGCCCCTGGTTACACTTGACCCTATATTAAAAGTCAACTTTAAACGACGTCGTAGTCTACGCTTTGTCTCGTTTGTGTTGTATTCCTACAGTGAGAAAGGTTCCCAGAGTTTGGCAGAGCTGTCTCATTCCATTATTATCGCAAAGAATGGGACAGAATCGACCTATGTCAAAACTTAAAACCAAATTGACATCTCAGAGTTGGTTAATTTGTTAGGTGGGCTGGAAAAGTTTGCTGTATATAATATAAAAAATGCAGGGTCCCTCGGTTGTTTTTTTGGTCTTAAGTGGCAGACCGTCAACTTCTGTTAGACTGTACTAACTTCGCTATCTCATAATATTAAAATGTCTGTGCTTATAATACATTCTTAAGTCTTTGTCTTTGTCCAATGATGTTAATGTTTTTGTAATTTTTAATTTTAACGTCACTTGTTTTGTGCCGGACCGGTTAAGATTTTCTTTCTTCCTATTTCATCGTTCTTAGTTTCCTTCGTTCTTTTGTATTTATTTATTTTATAACGTTGTATTTAATATGCAGTTTAGAAGTAATTGTACTACTAAGCAGTTTAAGCAGAATATTACTCTTAGACCAACTAGCACCAAAGTTCTTAATTCAAGTTTAAAAGCTAATCAGGTTTAAGTTACATTCTATATTTTTTTGACTTTTAATAATTGACAAAGATGGAATGATGTGCTAAACACGATTAAGCCTTAACTCGATTAAAGAACTTTCGTACAAGTGGATCTTACAATCACTTGTTAACCTGACGTAAAAACAAGGTTAAACATTATTCAAGCTGTCATTGTCAATTAGCTCATTGATCAATACAAGTCTATTTAATTTAAAATCTTGATGACTCCATTTCATTCTCAGATGATTGAAGTCTGCTCCTTCCTCTACGCAGAATAGGCATTTGGAATATCTGGCTATATGGAGATCTTGTTTAATACTTGGCAGAATTGCTCTTTCAGAACGTAAATATTCACTTACACGTTTTCCTGGAGATAATTTGAATAAGGATATATATATATATATATATATATCTATTATTATAAGAAATATCGGAGACTCATAAAAAACAAGGTACATGGTAACAATCCCGTTAAAAGCTATAATGTTAGTGACCATGAAAGTTTAAAACAATATATGTGTATATATCTAAATCATATAACGTATTTACAGTTAATATTTTGATAGGATCATAATGTTATAACGTTACAGTTCCATTCTGTTTCTCTGTAATTCTAATATCAATCAATGAAATAAGTACCTACTGGTGTGTCGTATTATGTGTGCTCGATTTTATAAGTAGTTCTTATTAAGGTCTTTATTAGAACATGTGATAAATTCATGACAAAACTTTCGTATTAGAATAAAATACATTTGCCCAATGAAAAACGATATACCTATTCTAATTTATTTATTTATTTATTTATCTTTAACAAAGTTTGTTTCCAGGATTGTCGGTTATTGTTTATGTGTATTTAATTTCGCTTTGTAAAATATGGAGTCAGTTACGTGAGATAGTACCATTATTCAATCAAACTAGCTAGGTACATATTTTGAATGTTTTGGCGATTCTTTATCAATAATTTGGCAAAAAACCGAAACATTTTCGCATTATCAGTCTGGTAGTAGAACAGGGTTTATGCTTAAATTTCAATGGTTTGAGGTTTTTACCAAATTCTCATTGTGTTACAAGAATTTGGTGTATCCAATTAATATAAAACATATGTGTCGGGATAGGTCAATTGTCACTGTTGCATTGAGCTAAATTTCTTTGTCCGCTGGCGCCTCTAGCTTCGTGATATATCTGTATGATCAATGATTGTGATGTGTTATCGTTTTTAATGTTTTATGTTAATATTAACTGCATAACGCTACGTGCTGTAAATTATCGCAGCCAGGTAAATGCGAAGTTAAAAACAAATTACAGCATTGCAAAAATAAATGGCTTAATAAATTCCGCGGTCACTTGCATTAACGTGGTATAATGAATTTTTAATAGTTACTAATTGAATAATGGATTGTCAGAGATACTGACCACGCCTGTTTAACTTTGCACTTTATCAGGTACCTACTAAGTATTCAAACTAATATTGCAAAAACTAAGTACGTTTTTGTAACTACTCTTGAAAAGTTTGGAAGTATTACATTAAAATGGTTGGTATTAGAAAATGACACAAGAAAAAGAAATAACCAACTCTATGACAAATTTTAGTCTTCTGAGGGCGAAACTACTTTATAAACCGTATTTCGTTTTATAAAGTAGTTTCGCCATAAATTACCATAAATTGCACGCATTAGAATAATATTGCGATGTAAAGTAATTATGGATTTTCAACCATTTATTTTTGAGTTAATTACTTTTCAAATAATGAATGTAGAATGTTCGGATCTTTTTTTTACTCTTTGACATTTTTGGTCTAGTGTAGTGTAGTGTAGTAGATACAAGTGTTGTCCGTTTATTAGGCCTTATGCTTATTAACGTTACGTGAATCATCCAATAGCTTCTATTCAAAAGACTGAAGATTTGGACCCGACCAAAAGTCATGGTCGATTGTTCACGTTCGGCCCTATATAAAGGGCTCAGGTATGCTGGGCGTACTCCACAAGGTGCAAGGTTGCCCTCCTTATGTTATTCTGCCGCGCTCGAGTAAATCCGAAATACACCACTTGGGCAGTGTACAGTACAGTGACTACAAACCTTTTAGATATGTGCGCCACGCGATAACTAATTCAAATTTGTCTTGTTTCTTCAAAGTGTTTCGTTTCTACTGTCAAGTTGAAAACTTAAACCGATGAGTCATCGTAGTTCAACTGTATGCTCACGTGCAGCTTACTTGGGCTTTCTGTTTTTAGTGAAATGGCCCAATGAACCACCGCTCTACTAGCTCACAGAAGCCTTTAGCCAAACAACACTCTGTTATGTTGTGTTTTTAAAGTGAGTAATTCTGCCAAAGCTACACACATAGGGGAGAGTGGGGACATTGCGGACACCTAAGAGAAACCTTAAATAAAAGATGAAGTATAATTTCAAATGAATCTTTCTTTATTAATTTTATTAAACTTTGGTCTTTACCTTATGAAATTAACAGATATAAATATTAAAAACTAATCAACTTCAATATTCTTTTATCAAAAACAAAACCCTTGCTGTCCATATTTACCAGGTAGGCTTCGGGTAAATACGGACAACATGTGGGGTAATTACGAATGGCACTGTTATTGCAGATGCGGCATTAAAAAAGTTTGAAACGCAACAATAATACAAAAAAATAATGAACTATCATTATTTGTTGCTACAGAAATCGCAAATATAGCCTCGGCTTGTACTCCCACCTGTGCAATTGTCATGTGCCCATTTCTAGTCCGACACGATACGAGCGTATTTTCCCCATTACAACAGTCCGTAATAAACCTAACTGGATGTCAATATTTTGCTGCAAAATTTTTTAGGTTAGGTAATAATAGTGATAGTTTATTATTCCACATTTTCCGAGGTGATTTACAGTATTAATACATATCTTATACAGTTTTTAAGTTAAATAATTATTATAACATTGACACGCAACTACAAACGAACAAAAATTACAAGAAACCACTTCAAAATAAAGAATTAATTTTACCTTGAGAAGCGCGCGGCCTTCCGGGTTGACATCAATCCGGGCACTAAAGATGGCCAACCCAACTTTGTTATGTGAGTGGCGGGGCGCGGGGTTGACTAGAGCAGCCACTACAACAGTGTCCGCATTTACCCGATGTCCGTAATTACCCCACTCTCCCCTACATGTCAATAGTGATGGCGGCTGGTGCAACGTTTATGAGTCTTGCCTCAGTTTATTAACATTTGGATTCAACATCGTGTGGAAAGCAGTAGTTTATTCGGTTTATGTCATCTACAAAGAAAAATCCCTGTTACAGTGCATGCACGCACGTAGTTTGACACAGTATTCCAAATATGTGTTCAAGAGAAACATATGAGTATATTACTGTTTTCGTTATCATGTTGACATCACCGCCTTTTTGCCACAAACTGTACATATCCCGTTGAACTAGCTATTTCATCTGCGTAGATCTGTAACATAAAACACTAAAATGAAATTACTCAGAATCATATAAAATACAAATTACATTTTGTCAATCATCCAGTTACGAACATGTAAAATCAATACGAACTTCGCATGAAAACGGCATAATTGGCGGCAAAAGTGCCGGGTATTCTAGTAGCTCTCATATAAAGATATTGCGACTCAAAAGGTCGTTGTATATTGTATGTGTCTAATTTTTCTATCCTTCACATTTTTCTTTTCCGAGAAAACATTCGTGTGCCATATTTTCTTGGTTCTGAGAAATTTCAGGGTGGCGTGGCGCCACGTCTAATTTGGAAATCGTTTTAGGTCTTGAATTCTTGTAGCGACGGCTTATATAGTTGTTTGAACACAGATAATCGTCACAGAAGTTTTATATTATATACAGTTTTTGATGTGTAACATCATTCCTCTCGCTTTCCTGCAATTTGTGGGAGTGATTTTGTGAAATGGGACGGAAGTGTGTAACAGGAAGTCGCGAAAGCACGCGCTATTTGATATGATTTTAGAACATAATGTTCAAATGGCTTATTACTTTTGTAGCAGGTTTCATTTCTTATTTTACTAATATAAGGTGAGGTTTCAAATGTTACACATCATACGCGACTACTGTAAGGCTCGCTCGTTTTTTTTTCATGTTTGTAACGCTCCATATTCAAAAATATATTATACGATATTGGCTGATCAGCTTTTTAGTTTAGATATAGTTCTCATGGACATATTTTTTACCAGGATTTGGTTATTTAATTTAATAGTTACGGGATTAGGTACTTAATATCAATAAGCATATTTGTTAGTTGTTTAGTAAATATACTATGTTGATATTTATATCATTTATTTTTAAGTAATATCAAATATAGTTTTGCATTCCACCACCAATTCCTCTCCACATGACACCTCCTTACCTGAGGGCCATTCGCCTAACGGAAATGCTTTGGAAAACGATAACCCTTTCGATTTTATTTTGTTATTTCTGATCGCCGAAGGTTTTCAAATACCTCACGCTCATTTTTTTAAATATTTTTATTACCAATGCAAAAGAAAAAAAAGAGCGCGAGGCATTTGGAAACCTCAGGCGGCTAGAAATAACAAAATGAAATCGTAAGCGTTAGCGTTTTCCAAATACATTTCCGTTATTCGAATGGCCCCCTGGTAGAGAATGCCCCTACAGTACTGCATCAAGTCCGTCATTGTAATAGCGCGACTATGTATCGAAGGCACTTTGTAAATGACTTAAAACGTGCTTTATGTTAAAACTACTTTTAAGAAAAAATATATTTAAAGTATTGTCATGAATTAAACAATTTTTTTTTAAATATAACTCTCTAGGCTTGAGTTTGTTACACTAATATGTGCTGAATTTATAATACGTATGGTGTAAGTACCTACGTAATCGATTTATAAGCAACTACGTTATTTATATTACTTCCATGAATCAATTCGTAAAAACTAATGGACTAATAGTGTTGTTAATATAATCAGATTTCAACTTGCGAATTGTATCTACCCAATATGGATTTATGTTAGCGGCACACTGGGAGTGGCGCGGCGAAGATACTGAGAAGTTAACAATTTGAGTTTAACCCTAATTCCTATAGGTATCATAAGTTTAAAAATTTCATGACAAACATGGAACATTATACAAGCGGCGCACAGCGCTGCGAAAGGGCCAGAAGAGCTGGTGCGCGACCACTTACTCCGCTCGGTGGCTCTAGGCCGCGTTCAAAGTCGCCACGCGCCGCTCTGTGACTCTTGGCCGCGTTCAAAGTCGTCACGCGTATTATCTTTGCCGCGCCTTTCCCGGTGTACGCTGCGCTTTACAAGATACCTCCTTTAAATAATCACACCACACTGTAAGGTAAAATCAATTTATGTAAAATGCGTAGGTTTTTCTGAAAAATAGCGGAGTAAGTACTTACACTACCTGTACACATCACAGTAAATATATACTTTCATAATTAATTTAGTTGTAACTCTTGTTTTATTTATTTATTTATGAAAACACATCGCTAATTGATTTGTATGAAAATCAACTAAAGGTGAGACCGTGTTGTTCTGTGGGTGTAACATATCAGTTGCTAGTTATGTTTTAAAAGGATGTAAATGATATTATGTATATTTAGCACTAAGAACTCTAAATGCGTCCATACGAAACATTCCACTAGGCTAGGTATACAATGACTAGGGTTAGGTTTATATACTTATAGTAATGTGTTAACGTTTTTATGTAAATAATATAGTTTAACCCAATAATATTAAGCGTATATATATATATATATATTAGCACATATTTATCATTCATTTAACCGTTTTATTGTAGGTTATTTACCCCACCATGTAAATTGTATATTTATAATGACCGTAGGATATAGGGTAGGGTCAAGTGGGGATAGTGACTGCGCCTCTTCTTACACTAGCCCCCACTTGAACCTATATTTTTTTAATTATATACAGGGTTACAGGGAAAGTCGTACTGAATATTAAAGAACGTTATTATTCAGGTCATTTCTGATGGATTTGGTCCTATAATATGGTGTCCGAAACTTAACCGTTATGGAGATATTGGATATTAAAGATTTTTTAAAAAATCCTATATTGACCATTATGCTACCACGGCCCTTTTCGCCGCGTAGAAATTTTCCTAGCCTTAAGCTGCAAGGCAGCGCCATCTCTTCGCATTGTAGGTAATCCACAATGTCAAATGAATACCTTTTCAAGTATTAAACATTTGAAAGAAGAAATAGCAATTATAGTTATGATTTTATTTATTTTTTAAGCATTTAACTGCTAGATGTTTAAATCTAAAGAAAAGTTTACTAGAAAAAATATATATAGTAATTATTGGTCACCCATCCAATGACCGACCACTGCGAAAGTTGCTTAAGTTCAACGATCGCAGCCGAACGCGCTAACCACTTGCGCCATCGAGCTGCTCAAAATTATGATTCATGTTCAACATGGCCGCCGCTAATTCTAATACAATATACTCTCAATCTTTTTCTTAAATTACTTTTTACTACAGAAGTTTTTAAGTTCCGCCTCATATCCTCAGCCGCACCAATAAATCCTTTGTCGCAAAATATCGATATTTGCGATCGGCGTCATCTGGTCGTATACAAGGCTTTTCATATGACCCCACACATAATAATGAAAAGCCTTGTAGACGACCAGATGATGCGATCGTTGAACTTAAGCAACTTTCGCAGTGGTCGGTCATTGGATGGGTGACCAAAAATTACTATCTCGAGCTCCTCCGTGCTTCGGAAGGCACGTTAAGCCGTTGGTCCCGGCCGCATCTGCAGTCGTTAGCACCCACCAATCCGCACTGGGCCCGCGTGGTGGGTCATGGCCCAATCTCCCTATTCCATCAATAGGGAAGGCCTGTGCCTCAGCAGTGGGGACATTAATAGGCTGGTGATGATGATGATGATGCTTTTCTGGTTTTATTTATGTATTTTTGCTATTTTTACCTCTAACTAAAAATGTACCCTCTGCTACCATAACTGTTATTTGGTCAATGTTTGCCAATTTAATAGCAAGTGTTATACCTTTTTGAATAGCTAAAGAGACGTCGAAGTTTTTAAAATTATTTGCAGAATAAGTTCCATACATGTTTTTTTTAGGAAAGCGCTTCAAAGTTAACAACACTTGGTGAAAATTCTTTAGTTACAACCGTTGTCGAGCAGTTTTTTTAAGCCGTTAGAAGTAAGTTCAGTTTTTATTCATTATTTTTATTGCTTGACATGTCTTCTAACTAGATTCATTAAAAAATCGGACCTTTGGAGCTCTAATTTCAAAAAAATCGACAGTAACCCAAAATATATAGGATTTAAAAAAAAAAACTTTAATATCCAATATCTCCATAACGGTTAAGTTTTGAACACCATATTATAGGACCAAATCCATCAGAAATGACCTGAATAATAACGTCCTTCAATATTCAGTACGACTTTCCCTGTAACCCTGAATAGCAGGTATATCATGAACGCTTTGCTCGATTTAATTACGATTTTTAAAGAGAGATGACGCTATACGATGAGTCGAATGGCATCTCTTTTTGACATTTACGCTAAGGATTTAGGATATCGCTCCTAATTAAAAAGTTATGTACATATAGTATTTTGTAAAATCGGCTACGGCAGTTAATGCCGACAATATTCATCCACTCTTGCGAAATGATTTTTTTAAACGACTCAATAAGGAAGTGATTCGGCCGGTACGTTTTTTTATGTATGAACGTACATCAATTACGCCGAGATTATTGATCCAAATTTACGTAATTATTTTTAAACAAAAATATAAAAATCGGACGGTTCCTAGTATGATTTGGAAGTCAGGCGGAGTCAAGAGATTGAAAACCTATTAGAAATGAAAATCTATTACATGTTTCAATATCGGCCCCGCCCGATTTCCAAATTGTACTACGACCCGCCCGATGTCCTGTGAACCAGATTTTTTTTTACCTTTTAGTTCCTTTTTCGATTTTAGTCGCTTTTATTTTTTGTTTAAAAATGCAGTTTAAGAAATTGGGTGTTAAAAATTCAAAATTGATGATCACATGATAGACACCTAGGCAAGGAAACGATTAAATCTTACCCAAAAAAGTTCTCGGATTCAATATCCGGTGCATGATTGATGAAATAGTGAAATATTTCATTTCTATTTATTTGTCAATTAGCAATTATTCTTTTTAACACGTAAATATTGTTAAAGTAATAAAATAAGACAATATGGTAAGTAATCTCATAAAATTTATTTTACGTTGTTATTAGGTACCTAGTTTAATTAACAATATAAAAAGTCAGACTTATTACTTAAATGGTATATAACTCTCGTGGCAATATTGTACTTAATAAAAATGTATAAGACTCTTTTTATATTTTGAGTCAATATAGATAAGTTTTGTTATAAGTAAAATATGTGTTTTTAAGGTATTTGTATATTAGTTAAGAAGGCTCTTTTAATCTTCGAGTCATTATAGAATAATTTGTTATAAGTCAATTGTTGTTTCTAAGATTATGAAGCCCTTAGGTAATCCGTCCAGATAATTCTAAGATATGCGATAAGCATTAAACTTAATATGTGTTTGATTAAAATGACATCAGTTTATTTTCATTATTTTTTAAAAGTATGATATGACTGTTAATGTCCTGAAACGCGTCTGTATAACACATAAGTATTTCGTTGTTTTATGCCTCTCCCATACTTGCGAGACGAAGTTTTGGTACTTAATGTACTGAAATAAGCGTTTGAAATAGTTCTATCGTAAGTACACTCCTTGAGCTGCACTATAAGCACAATACAAATTAAAGGACTCCCACAATCTCATTGTGGGTGTCAAAAATTGCCAGTCACGGTATCGTCTAGATCTTTCGTTGCGCAGTTCGATAATTCGTTAAGGTAGAACTAATTCAAATAGCGCATTTTAGTATCAAAGGTTCATCGTGTAGGTGTGGGTTAAGGATTATAAAATATTATCTAGCAATACTAGATCAAATATGGCATACATTGCGATATTTCTAGCGAGCTTTTTGTTTATTCAAATCTGTAACTCATCTGAACAACTCGTTGTGATGTCATTTTTTCATGCACCTCTTTGATAGTTTTAGTAGTAGGTACGTTATTTTATGTAATAAAAATTTAGTTAAAACATATATCGTTTACTTTGTGAGCATAATGCTAAAACCTTCTTTTACTTATCATTCCAATTTTAGCTTCTTTAGGCCGTAGAGAATAATTTTACAGCATTAGGTTAATAACCACATCTTAAAAATGCTATATACTTGTTATCGAGTCTACATCTTATTAATTTTTTTATAAATATTATTATCAAACAAGATAACGACTAAATATACAACATTTAAGCGCAAATTATGGAATCGGAATAGACTAGGTATGATGACCTCTTATCATCAGACCCGCCTGGAAAATGACGGTATGCCAACTTTTTAGATTTTTTAAAATTAAAAAGTAGATATCACACACTATTGATGTTTTTCATAAAATTGTCACACTTTTTGAAATTAAATTCAAAAGTAGTAAAGTTAGAACATCTTCCGATGCCGCCTCTTCAATCTAGGGCGGCGATCATAATCCCCCAACAGTTTTCGTAAACGTTTTCGAAGCATTTTATTTTTATGTGATTCTAACATATCTGAGTATACATCTGAAAATGGAAGTATGTTTATTCCTCCGTCTTCTGACACTATACCTCTTATTCCTGGTACCATTCCTATTTGTTGGGATGGGTATGGGTACGGGTACGACGACGGTGGATAAGGTATACCAGCTACTGGCATCATCGGGTTTGACGGAACAAGGGGTACACCAAAAGGGACTGGTGGTAGAGGAGGAATTATTGGTATTGGCACTGGGTACTGTGGTGTTAAATCAACAACAGGCATAGGTTGAATGATAGGAGGTTGAATAGGTGGTACAATATTAGGCATTGGGATAGGAACAGGTATTGGTAACGGCACCACGCCTTCTGGAGCTTCTACTCTCTGTGGCTTGGGTGTTGACCTCAAATAGCAGTATTCTGGTATAGCCTTTGGATACCAATACAAAGGGTTGCAAGGGTCCATCTGATCCTTGTCAGGCAGAGGTCGAAAGTTCAGGGGGTCCATGTAACTGAGACCAGCTATGGTGCATTTTGTTGTTCTTATAAATATCGTTATCATGCAAATCTGAAATATAAATTGCTCACCTCTTAGTGCCTATTAATGTATTGTAAGAAGTAATAAAGTTTGTAAGGTACTTAAATTGGATATTGTTTTATGGAAAAGTGTGAAATTTAAACTAAATATAATATAAACCACTCACCTCTATAAAAACTTTCAAGAAGTTTTTTAAATACATTTTGATGATACTAAAATCTATAGACTGGCAGTAAGTAAGTCTATGTAAGGATAATAGCAGACATTGTGATTGAGTTGCAGCTGTACGAATGTGTGAAACATGAAAAAGCCATTCCATGTAACAATGGAGTAGTTTTTTAAACACTACTTTTTTTATTATGCCCTAGTCTTTGGAGTAAATCCCAAAAATAATACCTTTACATAATCAAGTTGATTAACATTTTCATAGCTAAACAGGATTTGATTGACCGGCTCCGTATTATGAGAAAAACACTTGACATCAACTTTGGGTTCGATTTCTGCTCAGAACATAATACAGAAATTCAAGTATTCTTTTAATTGTCTTTAGTCTGGTTGATTGGGGCTTGCACTCGGCCGTTATTGCTTCCAACTTCAACAACAATTTATGATACTTGACATAGGTATTAGACATTTCATTTCATCAGAAAACAAGAGATAAGTAATGAAGTAAAAACTACGTTCATTTTAACAAATATAATTTAAGTTGGTAAAAAAAAGCAAAGATGATAAATCTTTCGATGTTTTACGGTTGATCATTATATTCATCACAAAATGGAACAAAGTTATATGCAATGTCTTTCATGGTGTTGAGTTGAGTGATTTTTCACGACATTGTAATGTAAGTATTGAACTGCAGTATAAATGAATATGATCCGCCGTAAACATCATTTATCTTCTCAAAAATAGCGATTGACGTCAAGTATAAAACTAATAAATTATGAATAATTCAATGAAATAACATGGATTTTTTTACAAAATCCAATTTGATTACTATTGGTGTTTCGTGTCACATAACTCAGTGTGCTTCGTCCGTAACACAGTAGTTACATGGCCCTTATTAATTCTTTTCTTTAAGTTATATTTAGGTTTGTTTTTTAATTTGTTACTTCTTAGACTATCACCACCAACGAAAATTTCTCCAATTTGTTTCGTTATGTCTTTTTCATTGCGATCTTTTTCTTTACTAGATACAGTTGTAACTATTTCTAAAGGATTATATATAGGTCCGAAACCGAAACTGATGTCTTTGTATGCCTTAGCTACTGCTTTCATGTAGTCTCCGCTGTATTTTGACACTGGTTGATTGTAAAGTGCTGCAGGGCCTAGGCCGGGAAAGAAAGTTATCTCCGGTGAACTAGGCCTTCTGGCTACATCCTTTTTAAGTAGCTGGACCATTCTTTCGTATGGTGGTAATGTGTCATCATATTCGTCACTTTCATCAAACTGTTCATATGGATAATTCTGTTCCTTTACTATTCTAACAGGTCCACATCTTCCAACACCAGCTCGTATTAGTTTTTCAAACATTTTGGTGCAGTGTTCTGGCATGTGTAATGGGTGCCAATAAAAGGGATTACACTCGTTTATATTTCTATATCTTTCTTCGACACCGTAGTCGTCCCTATAAGTGATCCCCGCAATAGATGACATGGTGAGTCTAACGAAGAATCCGAAGAATGCAGCTAAGACCAACTCTAAGTTTATCTGTAAAAAATATGAAACAAAATTATAGGGCTAATTTCACTATTCATAACAATATCACATAAAAAAAATGATGATGAGATTTCCTTTTTTATTTATTTTTCTTTTAGAATTTCCAATGGGCACATCAGGCAATTTTTTCGCTATGTTATACATATTATGTATGTAATGGTGCTGGATAATTGTAATTTATGATTATATGATACCGAGAAATATGCGGTAGTTAAATTGAAACCACTGAATAATGCCTGTATCCTACTATCTTATTTTTTATTTCCTTTCTTTAAGATCTATCTATTAAACTTTAAGGATCAAAGAGCGCATTAGATCTCGTCATAAAATTTGTTTTTAATTGATTCTTCGGCTGTGATAAAAAATCTTCTGCGAGCCATTCTTAAATATGCTTGTAATGATACCGTCATTACAGGCATAGAGGTACAGAGCCCTAAAAAAGATTGAAATAACAGACGGGGTTGAAAATTAATAACGTTTGCCGTCAACGACGACATGGATAGTTTATAAATAAAACTAAAATCCAAACCAAAAATATTATTTTCGTTGAAAATGTTCCATGTCCCTGGGGAATGTGAATATTTTCCTCGTTTGAAGTCCTGTGCTGTAATTTAAAAGATGTACTTTTTAATATTAAATACTCATAACTTTAGTAAAGCCAGTTCATAAGCTCATGTTTGGTTAATAATCACAGGATTGAAAATATGGAATGTAATATTTCAATTCTAAATTTTTAACTGGAACACTTTTAATAATAATCTAACTTCACATAGTTAATTTTATATTGGCTATTTGTTAAATTGACAGCACACTCTCCCACTCATTCCTTTAAGTGTTGTTATGTTTACAAATACACGTCATCATCATCATCATGAGCTTTGTTAAAATCAACTGCTGGGGTTGCCTTTTCTATGGATGGAATAGAGATCAGGCAATGATGAATCACGCGGGCCCAGTGCGGATTGGTGAATGCTGATGCAGCCGGGACCAACAGGTTAGTGCCTTCCGAAGCACGGAGGAGCTCGAGATATTAAGTTTTTGCCCACCAATCACGGGCCATTGCGAAAGTTGCTTAACTTCCACGATCGCAAACCGAACGCGCTAACCACCTGCGCCATCAAGTACCACTAAATACTGCTTGATATACAATAAAATACCAATTTCTAAAGTCAAAAATAAAACCTTTTTTTAACGTCAGTAGGTAGTTAATAGGTGTTTTTGCAATTATGTAGGCATTGAGCGTGTACAATGTGCTTTAATAGTTTACTACAAACACAAATACAGGAATGGATAATATTTTCGAGTTGCTTAGTAATTAAATAGTTTTGCAATTTCACTAGTATTTAAGCTATTGTATTATCATCATTATCATTAAAGCGGAGCAGTTCAAGTTACCGAAGTGTAAAAAAATGACCTAAATGTCAAAAATGTCCTTTGCGTGTTTTCAAAGAGTTTTCAAAGCATCCATTCTATAGACAGTCGTCGACTGTCTTAAGGCAGTCAAAAGATTATACTCTTCGGTAAATTGAACCGCTCCGGTCTTCGATCAACAATTCTATAGATAACGGGTTCCATACAAAATCAAAGCTAAAAACTATCCGCGTATGTTTAAAAAACAAAGATAAATGTTTTAAAACAGTTTTAAACGATACAGCTGAAAAAAGGTGAATGTGAAATCCATCGAATGACCCATAAAATAAAATATTTTTACCATTGGCCAGCGAGTTACTCCGTTTTGTATTAACCGAACTAATTTAAAATAAGATCTCACGCTTTAAGTGAGGCTAAAATTATCGAGACGGATTTTACGCTCTGACCCGTTAACTATAGAATTATTGATCGAAGGCTGTAATTCAATTTACGGAAGAGTATAACTTTGCTTATTTTCAACGCATCTATTCTATAGATAGTCAGCCCTCAATTTGATTGCAACACAAATAGAATAGCGCAAATATTTCATATTAAATTAAGGTAAAGTACCGGTATTTACTGTTGTTGTGCACTTGAAAAGAGCACAGTGGAGATACACGATCAAAAAAAGGACACTATTTATTTTTTTGTGTTTTATTGGATACCTATGTGAAAGCCGTTGGTCCCGGCTGTATCTGCAGTCGTTAGCATCTATCTATCATCACGCTATTTCCTCTCACCGTACTGGTTTTTTTTCTAACTCATTTTATCTTCAAGCTATACGAATCTGGAAGGCACTCCCACCTCATATTCAGGATTCAGGAAATTGGTTTTGAAGCGTTTGGTACGTGAACATCACTTGGATGCTCCGCTGTATTCTCATAATTA